GCTAATTCAGCGGGATAATGGCTCCTATTTATGACCGAGGAAGCTTTTCTCCATCAATTACTGTATTAGTCATAAAGCCAGTCCCCTCCCTCCTCTTAAACCCCCTCTACCAAACGACACCAGTAAAGTGCTATAAATGGAGCTGTCTCATATTCACATACCCACCTCCCACTCTCCACCACTTTATAATCACAGTGCTGGTGTATTTGGTCTTATCAGCTCCAACAGAGGTAGCTACCAATAGCAGGTGGTTGCTGTATTAGCTAAACAAGCGTCTGTGAGCACAGTGTGAGGTTTTGTTTTTTTACCCTCCTCCTGCTGGCTGCTCATGTTTGCATGAATCTGTTCTATTCTCGGGGCCTTGTGAAGATAGCCGGGCCCCCACTCTCTGGTTATTTCAGCTAAGGCCATGTCCCCCTACCAGGCAGATAAAGAGGGGTCTTGTGTGCTTATCTGGGCAGCGCTGTAGCTCAGTGTGTCTGAGGGAAGCTTGGGGAATAGAGGGAGGCTTTAGTGTAAGGGACAAATGGTCAATGCGGGTGCAATGTCCTTTCAATGTCACCGCTGGTAGCATAACGCTCAACGTTTGGTGGAGGCTTTTTTTTGCAAGGTACATTACAGTTAAAGAAGTGGATATATTTTTAGGAATCGGTGGGAATCAAACCTCACAGGCACTGTGCTCTCTGTAAAACGAATGGCAGACAGAGAGCAGAGGATATTTGAAAGTATATTCTAAAGTCGTGAAAAATTCAGAAAATGCAAGGGTTTCCACATTGCACTTTTGACTCTGTAAAAGAAGTTGTTTAACTATAGAAATCGCATTGTCTCTCATCAAACATCAGAAAGCCAAACTGTTGCAAATGACTGCCAAGAAAACGTTATTGTAAAACACTGGAAAGCATTTCTTCATGTTTTCTTTGTTCAAGCTTGTTTGAGGTGATTTTTTTTAAAGGGATCACAACAAATGACTTATAACGGGAAAGCCACACATTTATTACCTCACAGGCCCACTCATATACTGACTGGGCTCAAACATAGAGAACAAGCTTATCTGTTGATACTTTGGTGTGGTCTATGCCATCACTCATTACTGGGATTATTTTTTAAGCAGTTTAAGGCCTGACACCACTCAACCTTTCCTACCCTGCAATTACTGCCAATGGGGCAAGGTTCAAATTTGAAAAAAAAAAAGACAGTCAAAGTCAACAGTACCTGGCAGTAGAAGCCCAGAGGCACACAGCCAAGGAAAATGAAAAAAAAGGTTAATTACACTCATCAGAGTTCACACAGTCACATACATGCCGCACCTATAGTAACTGTACTATAGTAGTCATTCCTCAGTCTCTACCTTTTATCCAAACATGGATGGTTAATAACTTTAAACCTTCTACCATACTGAGTTATCTACATGTGTTGCCTCTTGATCCTGGAAATAATCTAGATTTTCATATTTTTGATTGAAAATGAATTAAGGCCTACTCCCCCTTTTAGAGTTACTGAATGTTGTAGATAAAAGTTTACATATGGATTGGCTCTTAAAAAAGACGTGCATCACTTTACACTGTGCGTGTGCGTGTGTGTGTGTGTGTGTGTGTGTGTGTGTTGAATATATGTTACATAGCAGGATGATTTAGTTACATCTGATGGTGCAGGACACACAACAAACAGTGGAGGGCATCAGTTTACAACCCTGATTTTCAAACTGCCTCCATGCAGAATGAATGAAGCAGGTTGGCAGGTATAGGTGAGACTCCTTCTACTGTAGGCAGGTTCTATCATCGCTTACACACTAAAACAAAATCTGATTCTTTTTTTAAAACTCCTCATGCAATTCTCATGTTCCCACTTTGTTTCGAAAACGTTTAAAAAATTCAAATAGAAAACAGGACAAGAGGGAAAAACAATCCTCCCTGATGAAATATTTAAGACTTTCTGCATTGAGTTCCTTTTTGCATCATCCTGTCACCTCCTTTCCTCTCCTTCTCATCTTCTTTTTTACCTGTGACCTCGCTGAATTCTCCTCTGTTAACTCCAATTTAGCTATTATTCATTTGAAATATTACTCTTTTATTTCCTCAGCCTCTTTTTAGACCTTTTTTAGATAATATTAAAAACAATTTACAATGGGATGAGTAAACTGGTCAGGAGTAAAATTCAGATCAGTATACAGGCAGAGGAATTAATTGTACATTTCATTTCCTCTGAAGCAAAAGAGAAGAAGAAGGAGAAGGTGACGGAGTGGAAATGTCGAAAGGCGCAGAGAAGGAAACTAATCTAAAGGCGCAGGCCTTCAGCAGAACCACAGCCACAGGCCCGCTCTGTGTAAATCGCTCTCATGTTTGGACAGAGGGCACATTGTACGGCAAGGTCAAATGCAGAAGAGCAGTGTTTTTGAGAATGGAAACTGAGTGTAAAATGCCGAAAGGGATCATTTTATGCAGCAGACGGCTTGCTCTGTGAAGCTTAAGAAAAGCTGCGGTAGTGATTTCATCTTTCAGCCTCAGTCATTTATATCACCCGGTAATACAGTAGACAGTCTTTTATTTTTATGATTTGGAATTTTTTATTTAAAGGTTGGGTTTTACATTTTTGTGATATCAAAATAAATATGCAACAAGTGGAAATCATCTCTTTAGCTTAGATATGAAGCCACATGAATGCATAAAAAAAACATGTAAGTTTCAAATGTTTTTCATCTAAATGCAAGATATAGCAGGTTCAGGTAACTTTATTTGTTCCTGTTGGTTAATTCAATCGCAGGTAGAGTCACATATACTTGATAAAGCACAGACACAACACACATTGTACATATGGATGCAAGATACATTAAGAGCAGCCTATATAATTACTGTCTCTATGTATAATTTCAAATCAATATTAACTTCCGGTTGCTGCAATTTGTCCCTCTAAAGATAATTGTAATATGCTATTTAATGTTGACAGAGTATTGTCAGTGCAGAAATCTTCATAAAGCAAATTGCTTCAGTATGTCAGGGATTATTATCACATCCCAAGGGGTTTTTCCTTTTTTTGAGAGATTTTGAGTGAGATTTAAAGACAGCTAAGAGATTTGTTTTGAAGAGGCAACAATCAGTACACTTTGATTTTGACCATCAGAAAGCCAGGAATCAATATTTCCAACATTAAAATGATTGCCAGCCAGCACATCCCTTTTAATACTTTATTTTAAAAAGTGGAAACATTTCATCCTTGTTACTTGTTGTCTGTCAATGTCAGACTCTATGGCCTGCCAGAATCTGCCAGAAGAAGTTCATCTTATGACTTTTTTCCCCCCACATCTACCACCAAGTAATCACTTTAATTATGAGATCATACAATAATGTGTGTACAGGAGGAATTACACCTTTCCATCTTGGCAGAGAAGTGAGTGTCAGGCTCTTCCCCTTGACCTCCATCTACCCGAAATCAATCAAGAAAGAAGGAGGGAAAAAATTCATGCCAAGAGTTGCTCATCTGAAGGTGGTGGGAGTCTGGCAGACAGCTATAGTTTGAAAAAGTAGAAACATGATATAAGAGTAACAGTGGCATTTAGTTGAAAGATTTTTTTTTAATCTAGTTTTGACCATGACAACCTTAATGAGCCAATGTTCTTGCTTTCAGCAGTGATCTTACATTCCCAGACATCTGAACCTTTGAAATCAAGGTAAAATGCGTCTCACAATGGCACACACTTGCAAAAGGAACTCATTTTGTTGTTGTTTTTTTTGGTTAAGATTTCTGTTTCCTGTCATCCTTTGGCGAGCTTATTCTATGAAAGCAATCTTATCTGGTCTGAAAAAAAATGTGAATACCAGCTTTTAAGATTAACTAGAGACCAACCACTTGTTAAGTTGGTTTAAGATTCTTGATGTAATATTTGCATCAGATATATTCGAGTTGTTAGTTCTTAGGCACAGAGATGAACCTTACATGCAGTGCCTTTGCTTTCCCTAAAGCAGAACACTCGCCCCTTTTTTCTCTCCCTTGTCCTACACGATCTCTTTTTGCCTCATTCTCTCTAAAACACCCACCCTCTATCTCCCTCTGCCTCATAATGAATGCAGGAACTCTCCTTCATGTGTGTTTAGCAGTGCCTGGAGCCTGGTGTTGGCCCATGGTCCCTTAATTATTAATTTGACGTTATGTGCTAGCCGTTTGATCATCCCCACATATCTGTATGATTCGGTTTTAACGAGTTCCCCCAGAACTCTGTTTTCTCTATCTCTCTTTCTAAAAGGCTGCTTTTCTGTAAACTGCTGCAACCAAGGCGAGAGCAACGAATCCAACACCAACACCACCAAAACTACCTTACTTTAAAAATGTCTGTTTAACCAATTCTATTAGCACATACAGTTTTTTTATTCATCATAGTCCAATTTAGAATTTATAAATGCTTTGTTGCTGTTTAACAGAAAGATGAGTCTTTTGATGCGTTCTTCAATGTCAAACCGAATCAAAACAAACCTCACTTGTACTGCCTCGTCTTTTAAATGTCCTATTCTGAGGGATTGCTTCATTTGTTGTAGTTGGCATTTCCCTATGGATCGTGTGATGTACAAATCCCAAATGTAACTGTCTACACTTGGGATTTGACCATTGAACATGTTGCTTTGATGAAGATAGGTCACCATGGTTGGTTAGTTATGGAGCTATCTATTTTTATATCTTTCTACCTACCCTATCCTGCTCTCTCTAAAGGTATTTATTTTGTCTCCAAGTTGCCGTCTTTTTAGCTAATCCAGGACTTCTTTCTACTTCTGAACCGTGTGTGTGGGTGTGTGAGTAACGGAGAAAATAAGATACAGAAAGTACTGCTAGAGGAGGCTAGTGTAGGTTTGTGAGAGACTGAAGGGGTCCCACGTGTGGGTCATGTGGTCTGTCTTGTCAATTAAGGTTAGCTTGGAAGGACCAAGGCTAACTTTAGCCGTGCAACATTCATCTCGTAGCTCGTTCTGACGACTTTTCTCTTTCTCTTTCTACACCTTCTTTTTCTTTCCCAGCACCACCACGGTTCACTAAAGTTCCCGTCGACCAGATTGGCGTCTCGGGCGGCGTGGTCTCCTTTGTGTGCCAGGCGACAGGCGACCCCAAGCCGAGGGTTAGCTGGAACAAGAAAGGCAAAAAGGTCAACTCCCAGCGCATTGAGGTGAGTCAACGAGCCTCTGAATCCATAAGTATGGTGGGAAGCTTTATTGTTATTGTACTGTCCCACATCATACATACATGTGAGACAACACATGATCTTCTACTTTGGATTTAATGTTCCAAAAAGCAAAACGCACAGAAAAACCTCAGTTTTCAAAAATACCTGCCTGTGTGTGGACTATGCCTAAGTCAGAAATCCCACTTCAAGGATGGGATAAAAGATTGATTCAAGATAGGTTTAGTCACTTTAATACGCAGTATTTCATTTCATTCAAATAAAATAACCTCAAATGACATTACCTTACTTGTTTTCAACTCTCTACCTCATTCTCTAGCATATTGTTCAGACAGAAAATCAAATGATGAACCATTCCATTGACCAAAATGTTTGGGCCTTCTGGATTTGAAAATTGTTGAAAACTTCTGGAATATTTGTAGTACACAACTTGTCAATGCATATACCAAAATGGTAAATTTCATACATTGTACTCAAGAAATGTTACATTTCAGATGTGTTTAAATTCGGTTGCTCCTTACATTCCACACTTTTTAACCTTCATTTGACTACACATTAGTTTTGAACGCTGCCTTACACCACTTAAAAAGCACTGGCTTCTATAGCAGTTTGGTTCCCACACGATCTTATTGAAAAGGGCTTTTTTATGCTTTTGCAGCGAAAGCTCTCACAAATTGTCCTGGACAAATGACTCCCAATCTTTTCATGACTGGCTTCTCTGACATCTGAGCAATGTGCAGGTCCGTTTGCCCATTAATGCACTGCACAGCTCTCTCATTCCTCCCCCTCAGAACTATTTGCCCCCGACTGAATTTGCCATTGTCACATTCTTGTTTCCAGAGCTGTTTTTTTTTCTCCCTCTCTCTCCATACAGCCCTGTTTGTGTGAATGTGTCTGTGCGTTATTCATGTTTGTTGTTCAGTTCTCGGCAGGCGTCCCAGATGGCATCTCTAAAAGTCTTGATTGATGCTCAGTGTCTCTTAATTAAAAAGTTGCTTTCCTTAACAACGAGGACAGTGCACAGGCATATACGAGCACGCTCTGCAGCACGAGCACAGGGGAGGGGGGTAATAGGCAAAAAAATGACAACAACATCAACCGGGAGGGGGGGAGTCTGCATCTCAACAGAGGACAAAATAAAAAGACAAGTTGTGTTTGTACGTTCCCTTCTTCTGCATGCTAAGTGGCAAACAAAGCCAAGGGCGTGATGGAGCCTGCCAGAATGGACGCTTCCCTTCCTCAGTTTAGGATGAAATAAAAAAAAGTAAAAAGGTTTTTGAAGTAGTTATGATTTTTTTTTCCCTCAGTTCTTCCCTCTAGACAGCCGCTTTGATATCGATCACGATGCCGTGCTCTGCAGTGTTTTTAGCCTAATTAGCGCCTCAGCCCTGAGATGTGCAGCAGTGGAGCAGCAGGGTTGCTGAAGACTTGTACTCGTATCTCAGAGTCATGCTTCGCTCTGAGATCTCAGCAGTGAACCCACCGTGTAGATGTTGTAAGCTCCTCTGAGGGATGATAGATATCGGAGGAGTAGGTTTCTCTGTGAGACTGAGAGCCAGGCTGACCATCTTTTTTAACGCTTCACCCATCTAAAAGAGATTAGCTGGAGAAATGGCTGGCTATACTCAGACCTAGGAGTAATTGGTTCAGAAATGCCACCATTTAAATTCTGGTCATTTACCAAAGTCTTGACATTTAATACTATTTCTCGCTGAAAGATACATGACTGTTGATGTGGTTTTTGGGGCTGGTGCCAAATACTCAGTTACAGTTATACTACCACATTGTAACAAAGACATATTTAAAGCAATACATGTCAGTACTTTTACTGTATTTTATAAGAAAATTATTCAAATGCAAAATTGAGTGGTCTAATTAAAGATAATAAAACCATCAGCTTGTTCAGAGGCACTCGTTATTTTTAAAGTTCAGAACATCAGAATGTTGATGTCAAAGAAAATAAAGTGCCATTCTTTGGAGAAAAAAAATGTGTTGTAGAGTTAAAGAAAATGCAACCATCATTATTTCTTATTTTGGCACATCTTCAGAATTGAAACATAAAAGGGTTTGGATATTCAAATGAAGCCTTTTTTTGTCAGCCAGTGTTTTTTTTTTTTTTTTTTTTTCAATTCGGACTGGAGCTCTCCTCTGCTCAGTATTCGGAGCACATGATGCGTTCAGAGTGTAGTCTGATTTTTGTTTTCCATCTAGGTTCAAAACAAAAGGGCTTTACAGAGAACAAAGGGCATAATTACAGATAAAAACAAGAGATGAAAACACGGGAGAGCAAGCACATCACACACATCACACTCACACACACACACACACACACACACACACACACACACACAGATCCGGTTTGTGTATCTACTGTCTGTGTTTATGAGGACCGAAGGCTTACAAAGAACAGTTGTAACACTTACACATGTCATTGGTTGGGGGTCAAGTTACTATCCATTTTGAAAGACTGACTTTCTACATTGGAAGTTAAGATAGTAATAGTTAAAAACTGTTATGGTTGCTATTGTAATCTCATCTCCGTGTAGCCTAACATCAATCATCGTACTCTCTACCCTACAGACCATAGAGTTTGACGAAGGTGCCGGTGCTGTACTCAGAATCCAGCCTCTCCGAGCGCCTCGTGACGAGAACATCTATGAATGCGTGGCAGAGAACAGCGAGGGGGAGATCACTGTCAATGCCAAGCTGTCCATCATCCGAGGTGAGTCCTGCATTGTTAATCGGGTGTTCAGAGGGATAACTACAAAATGAATCATTAACGTGCGCATCTGGGAGCTCCTCGGGTCTTTTATGATGACACTTTGGACTGCTGTTTTTGAACTGCGCTCGACAGTGAGTCAGGCCTCTGCTTGAAATCCTTTTTTGCCTGGAAGGTGATCGTCTGTGGGGTTTTTTGGCTGCTAAACATAGCCGCAGTCTTTTCAAGTTGGGATATTGTAAACCTTGCAATTTGAATTCTGCTCTGTGTATAATTTACATTGCTTACTTAAAGTCCCTTATCTTCAAATATTATTGACGTTTTTTTAATGATTTTATTAGACATGATTATACAAGAAGCATGCAACGGCTATCTTCCTGTGTGCAGTGAGAGCCTTCATTACTGAGTATTATACAATATGAGTTAGCAGCAGCAACACATGAATCATCACTGGAGAAGCTAAATTATTACATGTGAAAATGTGGAGGAATCTTTCTTTGCACCTCTCAGCCTTCAAAAAGGCCTCAATTTACTGCAGATGGACAGTGTGGAGCCTGTGACAAGGATCCATCAATTTGATTAAACTAATCAACGGTCCATTCAAGAAAGAGCTGAACCTCTATTTGCCCGTGATGAGAACCCATAGGATCCCTGAATGAAAAAGATTGATTGGTCACCCATACACAGTAAGGGCACACCGGCTCTCAGATATGTCTGGAGAAAAACACAACACACACACACACACACACAAACACAAACACACGCAGTCTCACACACAAGCAGGCGTAAAACAACAATATAGTATGAGTTGTGTCGATGAAATCAGTGATAGCTGAACTTTGTGGACCTTCATTGATTGGCTCCTATGGCAGATAGTTAAGCTATAACACTATTTGTTTAGCTGCAGCTTAGAGGTCATGGAGGACGGCATCATAGGCGAGTAAGCATGTGGTCACATTCTCCCACTTTCTTCTCTCGTACTACCTGTCTCTGCTGTTTTTCTCACACAGACACACACAGCCAATGTCTTCTCCTCTGTTCTCTCTTGCTGCCATCTGCCGTGTTTCCAGGCCTGGATGAAGCTGAGCTATTGCTGGCTTTCTGGCAGCACACAAGCTGCTAGGCCTTCCTGGCTGTCAGAATCGCAGGCAGTGTGATGTGATGGGGATTTTTTGGATACAATGATTGGAAGACCAGCCCAGTATCCTGGGGTAGTTATTGTTTGAAACAAACCCCCTGCCCCTGAAACACGCTTGTAGGCGCTAGGGAAGTGTAAGTGCCTGAGATGTCCTTCAAAACTTGATGTAGATCTTAAAGTTGAGTAATTTATGTTCATGTAAGTTCATATTTTTGAGATTTTTCTCATGTTGAATTGAGTCATGCACATCACAGCAGCAGGTAGAAGTCAAATGCTGTTTTTCAGGATGTTTGCTACTGACTCACATACAAAGCTTTTTGTATTTTCACCCAATTTTACTCTAATTCATGCACTTTTAAGAGATAGATAAGGTAACAGTTAAGTAACTTACTGATTAACTTTATTTTAAAGTTAAAATGTGACTCCATTTTAACTCATGTAGCTTTGCTAGACCCGATGGGAGTCATTCGGACTCCAAACAATTAAGATGTGTTGAATGTAATAACAGATCATTCTGAACATAGTTTATTCAGTAGAAAATCAAATGCAGAAAACAAGAATACAGGGAAACAACACAAAGACAGATGAAAAACAAGAAAATGAGAACAAGGAACAGGGACACCACATTTCAAACGACAAGCCCAGGCCTGTGTGTGTTATCAGTTATGTGAAAGAGCACAGGGCAAACCCAGGGCGGTCCAGAGATGCAGCAGGAAAATGAAAAGTATTGGAATTCAACTCGATGAGGTTTTCTCCAGAGCCCTGGGGGAGACTGCAGCCCTCCTGCCCAGGCAAACGAGTGTGATGATGTGGGGTGCAAAGTTGCAAAATGAGCAGCAGAGGAGGATGGCGGAACATTCTATCTGTTTTCCATCTTTAATGAGGTCAAACCCCCCCCCCCCCTGCATTAACCCATCAGTGCTACTAAGGAGACAGGAAGAAGAAGGTGAAAATCCAGAATATGAGGAGAGATGTAATTTGATTCAGAGAAGACCAAGAAATGTGACAATGAAGTGAGGTTTTCAGGGTTAAGTAAAAATGTGTAAAAAAAAAAAAAAAAAAAAAAAGCAAAGGGGATGAATGTTAGGAGAGAATATAAGTAGAGGTGGAGGAGGGGAAAACCAGGGAACAAATATGAAGAGAAAATGTATAAAAGTTGGCCAGAGATGAAGGGAGACATCAGGGGGTGTTGTAGACAATTGGCAGTGTGACACAGGTGAGGAGGACAATGGGCAAACATGGGTTCTTGGAACAGGGGCAAAGGATTATGGGATATGGGACAAAGCACAAGGGACACAACCACAGTAAACAGAGGGTGGTTGTGGTCTGGGATCTGGAGAGGCAGAAAATGGGTCGAAATGGTGGGTGACTTGGCCGGAATGCTGCACAAGGAAAATACATCTGCATGCATACAGAGTCTGACGTGGAAACAGCATACATTTAAAGACATTTGCATGGCTTGTGTTTCTATATAATGCTTGCCTTGATGCAAACACAAACTGTGAGTACTTAGTATACCACCATGAAAAATTCTTTACTCAAAGTAGCTGCGGTTAACACAGAAGGGCACATGCATAACCCTATAACTAAGCATGCAGCATACCGGCATTTTTCTAGCATAGCACAAGCTCTTACCACAAATGTGGAAAAAAAAAGAAAAGGGAAAAAAAAACAGTAGCACACTTTAATGCTTGTCTGCAATGATTAAGATATGCACGCAAGCGCTGCAATGATAAACACGCATACTGGCAATATGCACAAAACCACTCCCAACACATTTTGCATTAACTTAAATACATCAAATCAATATGTATGGAAGGATTAAGGCACTTTGTGTTTAGTTTTAGTAATAACAGACAGCATTTCAGACAAAACAAGTGGCAAGCAGACTATATTTGAACCTCATTTTTTTTTTTTTTAACAGTACCGTGACAATGGCACAACCCCGCCTTCTTATCTGTTTGTGTGTACATGCAAGTGTGCATGTGCTGGTGGCAATGGTAGGGTGCATTTAGCAGCGACAGTGACACCTCCTTGGCTGTTGCTCCACTGCCTCAGCTGAATACCTAAGATGGGGACCATCTGGCTCCGCTAAGACTCACACACAGCCCTCACGGAGTCCTTGGAGAGGGACCGACAAGAGTATGAAGCACACTCTTGAGTTGTGACACAACTTGCAGCATGCTGCAGTTTTTTTTTTAATAGCTTTTTTTTTTTTTTCTTCTTCTATTCGTGTGTTTTCTCAGCAAGTGTTTTAGAGTGTCAAAAGGAAGGGAAAGTTGCCACTGGGATACTGTCAGCTCATGCTGTTGTGAGGAGATCATGTGGTGAACACCCGCTTTGTGTGCCCATATTTGAGATTGCTGCAGTGTTTAGCCCTCTGATTACAGTTGCAAATAGATTCACCCCTGAGGCATCCCAGAGAGCACAAACTATGATTGATGAGATCTGGTCTGATACTCAGTTTTTTCCATGTTGAAAAAGTTGTAAATACGACGTGTCTATTTATGTGTTTGGTAAACTCATCGTTCAGATCACAGTGAGGAAGAGCTACTCTAGAGGCACAAACAATCATATTGAATGAGTTGAAAACCACAGAAGTGGAGCGATGAAGCTTCAGTTTTTCTTGTTTAGTTAAGTATTCTCTGTACACTTTTTGAGCGTCCTCTAATACACACTCACTTGTACACTGTTCACTTCTCATGTCTGGCCTTAAAAATGAGTGCATGTCGTCAAAATTAGACTCAGTTATGACGTCCATTTTTGCCAATGCTCCTGTGTGTGCAAACAAACACAGTCATGCTCACTTCCAGCTTATTTTCCTTTGGCACTCCTAACCCGGTGGAAGCGATAAAACGCACCTTTCTGTTTCTCTCATCACTCTCCCACAACCCTTTTTAATCTCTCTCTCTCTCTGTGTATGCCAAGCTGTAGGACTGGTATTCAACCATTGAACTGATTTTGTTAAACATATTTTTTTTTTTTTCTCATTAGATTCAGCTCTGACCCAATGTGACTTCACCCCAGCACACAAAATTGTTGCAATACACTCTGCTTAAGAACATACATTAATTTTTATTTCTCTATATCAACAAATTGGTAAAGCGAAAAAACGTTTTGTTTTTTGCACAATGGTTGTAAACATACTTTGTCGGTAGACTTATTGCATTTCAAATCTTTGATAAAACATCTAAAATCACTAATTTTAACTTCTATAGTAGAATGGTTATGCCATAGAAAAGAAATCACTTTTTTGAACATATCTCTAAGTTTACAAGTGTTGGCCAAGTCAGAAACAATTTGATTTCCTTTTCAATTCATCCATGTGAAAATGAAGCATTTGCCAGTTTTCATTGTTTGGACGAGTGCTGTTTTTTTTCTGCTAGAGGATCCAGAGCGGCGAAAAAAAACTGCATGTGCCGCGTGTTTCCATTTAATGGTTTAAAATAGATTGGAAACTCCACCCATCTGCTACAGAGCAACACTGTGCCAGTCAGGTTCAGTAGCACACCCACCATTACCCAGAGGGGACTTGGGCATAGCGTGCCTACTGTTTGATCTGGCTGTCTGCTAATTGGCCGCTCTCTTGTGAAGTAGCAGGTAATGGTGAATTTTAATGGGACTCTGGATCCTGATACATGAAAAGTCAGTGCACAGATCATGCCTAGTGAAATCTTGGTAGTTAAAACAGGGTAATGGGGATGGGGGGGGGGAAGAAAGAGCTGCAATGATAAGATGGGGGAGAGAAGTGAGTGGGAGAGACCGATCAACCTTTCAACCAATAGTTGCTCCAGGCCAAGCCTTAAGACATTCTATATTTTACCTTTACTTTCTCTTCTCCCTCCACATGTTCCTGTCTCTCACA